AATTGGTGGTAGCGTGCATCCATGCTCAAATTTAAAAACATGTAGCACAATATTCAGCTGAACATGTCATAAGTTTCGACAACAATGAGCCAACTAGACAAGTAATTATAAAAGGAAAATAGATAGAATAAGATCATGTACTTTGATATAGTTGGTATAATTCATTGGGCACAAAGTCCCAAATAAAATTTCTAGAATGTTATAACATATTTCAATTGTTGGATTTTACACCCAATAAGTAACAATGATTTTGCCTTTACCAAAAACGAATGGTATACAATCCCTTAAATATCTATATGGTTAATTCTTGAATACACCGCACTACAAAAAATATGCTATATGGGCCTACTCAGAAACTAGATACAATTCCTGCAATAAGGTACAATAAGGTAAAATGTGGTTTGCAACCTTAAGTAAACCACACCCAATGGGCCATGGTGATAAAACTCCAAAGCACTAAAGCACTATTTACAACAATGTTGAAGAGAACACTATGCTAATTGTGTGATAAATACATCATGTACCTGTAAATGTGAAATTACTCAAAGAATACGGAAAAATGACAAAAACTAAAAATTTAATTTTTGCATAAAACTGTAGTATTGCGTGGCAATTGGTAGCGAGCATCCATGCTCAAATTTAAGGACATGTAGCACAATATTCCCATAAGTTCAGCTGAACATGTCATAAGCTTCCACAACAATGAGCCAACTAGACACGTAATTATATAAGGAAAATAGCTAGAATAAGATCACGTACTTTGATATAGTTGGTATAATTCATTAGGCACAAAGTCCAAAATCAAATTCTAGGATGTTATGACATACCTCAATTGTTGGATTTTTACACCTAATAAATAACAGTGACTGTGCCTTTACCAAAAACGAATGATATATAATCCCTTATATGGTTAATTCTTGAATACACCGCACTACAAAAATATGCTATATGAGCCTACTCATAAACTAAATACAATTCCTGCCATAAGGTATGATAAGGTAAAATATGCTTATGGGTATTCTACTTTTAAACAACATACTATTTATAAACAAAGAAACAAGATACAACTCCTGTAATCAGGTACGATTCCAATAGCAGTGTACTCATTCTCTCTAGCAGAGGAATATGCCAGTGTATCGTATTCCCACGAAGTAATCATCAATTCTTGATTCACAAAGAAGAGACAAAATACAACTCCTGCAAATATAGCATTCACAAAAACACAAGAAATGCAAGAAACCAGAATTTGCAAGTACTTAGCTTCTGCATCTTGACCGAGGAACATAAGGATAACACAAGATAACCGCAAGAACCAAAATTAAGCAGCTGTTGGCATCAGCATCTTGCTCAAGAAAATGCATGGGTGGGTGTTTTCTTGAATTGTCATATTTTCTCAGTACTTAAAAACCTTTTTCAATCTACTTCCAAAAGATGTAGTGATGATCTAGAATGTATCAAACATAAAGAAAGTTCGAGAAATAGGGGATTTTTCAAATTACGGGACCTTAGGGGATATGCACGTAAATTACTCAATAATAAAAGTGATTGAAGCCCCATTTAGTTGTGTAGTAAATTCCCATCTGTGTTCTCTTCACTTGAGTAATTTAGTTTCAAGAATGGTAGTAGCCAAGGGGTTTGGACCCTTGGCTTGATGCTAAAAATGGAAAGAAAAGAAAAGAAAAAAATGATAATAGACAAAGAAAACATAGTGCCAATCTATATTCATACCCTCTCATAAAATGAGGAGAAAACAATATATTAATCTATTTGACAAATACACACTGTAAACATACAAGAACATTTGATGATTAAGAATAACATCTTCACAATCTTACATTGCTGCAATTCTGCGGTATCCAAGAACAAACAGCTAAAAAGAATGGTAAAATCAAAACTCAGCTATTTGGGTTCAACTTTGTTTGGAAATGAATAACCCCCACTGTATTGGAAAGCATCAGTGCTTGATTCCTTTGTAGACATAATCGTTCCATCATAAGGGTGGCGAGGGGCACCCTTTCCAATACCAAAATCAGTAGCAGAAGAAGAGGCAGAGGTTGAATTCGTATTGAGCCCATCATTCTGCAGTATGGACTCGATCTCCTTGACCACCTCACTCATAGTGGGGCGATCAGATGCTGACTCTTCTACACATTTCATGGCCAACTCCACAAACCTTCTGAACCCCATTAAACCACCACTTATCCCAAGGTTAGGGTCGAGTATTTGACGAAGGCCATATAGTTCATCAGCTCCTGCATTTTCCATGGCCATTCGAACCTCCCTCACTATGTACTTGCCTTTTTCAATGGGTTGCCTAGCCGTTAAGAGCTCAAGCATCACCACACCAAAGCTATAAACATCACTCTTGTCTGTCAGTTGTTGAGTCATGTAATACTCAGGATCCAAGTAACCCTGCACCCAAGAAACAAGGCCAACAATTTTAGTCAGTAGCGAGTGGAATATCAATATTTTCTCAGGATTCATGAGGGTGAAGAGAAGTACTCTATAGTCTGTATTTTTTCATTGGGGTCGTGACCCTCTGGTGAATGATGAACAGTGATAGATTTGGACCCACCAGAATAGGACATCACCCTAATAGTGGGGCCCCATCTTTTTCCATCACTGTCCATTGTTTCATTAGACAAGCATGACCCCAATCGTGGGTCCCACTATCTCCCACCCATCGTCCATTTCATCCAAACTGCATGATCTCAATGGACTTGGATCATTTCCTAGTCCATTGGATTCCATTTTCAAATATAGATTCCATTTTCAAATATAGCTTTTGTTTTTGTTCATCGATCTTTTTAAATAGAGTTCGAAAACTGTTTTTTCTTTGGATCTAAAAATTCATGAAGATGGATCACTGACCAGTGTGCCTTTGACTTGAGTGGAGACATGGCCCTTTCCAGTGTCTGCTACAAGCTTTGACAAGCCAAAATCTGCAACCTTGGCATTCAAGTTCTCGTCTAAGAGGATATTAGTAGACTTGACATCTCTGTGAATTATGGGAGGATTAGCAAGCTCATGCAGATAAGCTAATCCCCTTGCCGAACCAAGAGTGATACGGAGCCTCCTCTTCCAATCAAGATATATTCCAGTTTTCCCTGTTCCCAAGCCATATCAATCAGAGAAAATAAGAATCACATACTAATCAACTAAAGTTACAGGTTCATTGCTGTAATATGGTTCATTAATTGTGGGGATAAATAAAATGGTTATTGGAAGCAAACCTGTTAAACTCTCCCTCAATGTTCCATTCGGAACAAATTCATATACCAGCATCTGTTCCCCTTGTTCGAAACAGAAGCCTACAAGTCCAACGAGGTTCTTGTGGTGAACTCGAGAGAGCAGCTCAATCTCAGTCTTGAATTCAAGGCCTCCTTGCATGGATCCTTGCTGTGATCTCTTAATAGCCACCATCTGACCACTCGGAAGAATTCCTCTGTAAACCTGCAGAGATCCACAATCAATTGCATTTTTATTTTCTAATGCATATAGAGATACTCTGGACCTATCGTTGAGAATGGATGAATAATCACCTTCCCATATCCTCCAGAACCAGTCTCATTGTTTTCAGAGAAATTATTTGTACACTTTTTGAGTTCATCATAAGAAAACCATCTTGCTCCTTTCAATTGAGGTGCACCTCCACTATCTTTACCACTAGGTGCCCAAGATGCTGAAACACATACAAACACAAAATGTTGTTTAGTTTGATGGGATGCATATATGTATATATATATATATCTTCAATGCCCATGTATACAATTTATACAAATATTGTGTATCTGTTTAGGTATAAAAAACGGAGAAACATAGATTTGTAAATAGATAGATGTCTGACTTTTGAGTAATCCTGTTACTCACCAAAAGGCTTGCTCAATTCGAGAGCTCTCTCTGCCCGTTTCTTTTGCCTAATGGCATATATGCCTACGCCCACAAGGATGAGGACCAGAACTGAGCAACCCACTGCTATCCCGATGACCACTCCAGAGTTCATCGAACTTCCTTTCGATACTGTTTTCAATCATACAAATTTTCAGCACTCGAGTGATCTTTCTATTGGAAAATTGTGCCTGATAAATAAGCTTAGTTTATTCACTGAAATGATCTATGGTTCATATACCTCATACCTGGAAAAATATACGGGTCGGCAATGAAGAAGTATGGACCGAATGTTTTGCTGGGTTTGAATACTTGGCTGCTAAGATCAAACCCAATTTTTTGAACTTCAGTGATGTTGAAGGATGTCTCACCATTTGGGGGGAAAAGATCCACCTGGAGTCGTAGGTAATTATTGGCATCAAAATTAGGGTTTTGGAGGAAAACTGAACCAGGAGTGAGACCCAGTCCTGTCCAAAGCTCTTGTTCCAGTGATTGAAACAGAGTGGCATTGGTTACATCTGAAAAGGATGGTGCTCTAAAAGTCATGATCCCTCCATATGGGTAAGCACAGATACAAAGAGGGCTGCGCTTCTGATCAGAAGGGCATGTTTTGCTTCCACAGCTTGCCAAACTAGTTGAGTAAGCATCAAATTGACCTTGTTGGGGATGGCAGTAATTTGTATTAGAAATTGGACCATCACAAACAGGGTTGCCAATCAGACTGCAATAGTATTAAAATTCATAATCAGTAATGCCTTTAATATACTATAAAGAAAACATATCCCATCATAATCCATGGGGTTAGGATATAATATTACAACTCATAAGAGCATATTACTAGGAAAGCATCAGCATTTAAGCCTCTTACATGAGAGTATTTTTATATCCAGGTCCCACTGTAACTGTGGGAATATCATTGTTTTGCAAATCCACGAGTTTCAGCTCTGGGCTGATGCCGTTTCCCATGTTGAGAGTGACATTGAAACCATTGTTTCTCAACCTCCTGTAACAAGAAAACCATAATGGTTACAAGTTGCAGAGTTCTTTTTAGTATGGAACTATGCCATCTTTTACGCTTGGACACAATCTTTTTCTTTTTTAATGGTTACACC